GTATAGTGGCATTAAGTGCCGTAATGTGCACCTCTGCCTACCCTTTCGGGAATAAAAGGCGTGATGTTATGTTATATTTTATTAACGTGAATAAACCGTTATTTTGAGTTAAGCCTATTACTGAGTTCTATCTTCAGTTTTTCGGATCCAACCACTAACAGCCACTTCAAGCAGCTGTCACCTTACACTATGCTAATTGGGCTCGCTGCCATTGCAGCGGTAAGTCCCCTCTTTGAGGAGTGGCTTGAGAGACGCTACGGCGTCCTCACCTACCGCCTGACGCAGGTCCTCACCGGACACGGAAGTTTCGGGAGGTACCTGTGTCTGATGGGGCGGGAGGAAACGCCCGGGTGTCATCACTGCGAGGACCGCCCTGAGGACACGGTGGAACACACCGTAGCGGAATGCCCTGCGTGGGCTGAGCACCGCCGTGCCCTCAGGGAAGTGATCGGCGATGGCGACCTCTCGCGTCCGGGCCTAGTGCAGGCCATGATGCGGAGCGAGGGGGACTGGGATGCCGTCTCCTCCTTTTGCGAAGCAGTCATGCTAGCTAAGGAGGAGGCGGGACGCGTGAGGCAGCGAAGCGCTGCCTCCTCGCAACCCAGCCATCGCGAAGGACACACCGGGCGTCGGGGATCGCGGGACGATCTCCGGCCACCGTAAGCGCGGGCCTGCGGACGGCGAGCATGGGTGGCTCCCCGTCCGACCAGAAACAGACCCGAGCGTACGGCGCGTCGCGTTCCGCGCGCGCCTCAAAGAGCCATCAGACCACCACAGATGGGGCCCAATAGGGCCGATGCCGATTCGGAGTCGCGGAGAACCTAACGGGTAACCGGGGCTCCGGCTCGACGTGCAGGAGAAGGAACGGGGTGGTTTTTAGTCAGTAAGAGTCTGACACTCCCTTCCGCCTCACCCAGGCGGGAGCAGTCATTCGATGATTTTCCCCCCTTAAAAAAAAAAAAAAAAAAAAAAAAAACACTATGCTAATCGTGACCATGTCTCGATTGACTTGTAATTGCATAATAATAGTACGTGATCAAGCTTCATCGGCGTAAGTGAAGAAATAAAGCAACCACGTCAGATTGTATTGCAAATGTACTTCCAGAAGTCACGTAGCCACCAGATTACAGGTGCGACAGTTCTATCTAAGAATAACGTATCACCCCTAGTAGGTTATAGATGCGAAAAGTCGGGTCTAAGACAAATAATACAATTCACATGTGAAATAGGTAGTACACGATGTTTTGCACTAAGCACAAAAATGTACAAAGATATTATCAAAGTCCGATAATTCTGACAACCTTTAAAAAGTGTTTGCCAGAACAGTCATAGGTTTAAAAAAACTATGAAAAGTTTGGTATTTTCAATTGTTTGTGAAAGAAAACTACCAGTCGGCTGCGTGTGTGAGCCCGTGTTTTGTAAATGTACGCGCGTTCGAACAAACGTTGGAATTCCTCCTACATCGAGCAATTTCGACGTATTGTGTGATAGAGGGCCAAAGTTCTCTTTTTGGGCTTCGTCCGATATTGCACTGCGAGAAGAATTGATATAGCGAACTAAACTTCTCTCCTGTAATTCTTTGAAGAGAGGATTAGAATAAAAGATACCTAAATAAAAGAAGAAAAACTGCACTTTTTGTCTGCATTGTTATTAGTGAGCTGCTGTCCTGCGATAGGATAAACTTTGTTTTATGGTAGTTGAATACATCCAATTTCATATTCAAGCGACTTATGCCTTCATTACAGCGCTAAGTCCCCTCTTTGAGGAGTGGCTTGAGAGACGCTACGCCGCCCTCACCTACCGCCTGTCACAGGTACTTACCGGACACGGGAGTTTCGGTAGGTTCCTATTTTGCATTGGGCGGGAGGAAACATCTGGGTGTCATTACTGCGAGGACCGCCCGGAGGACACGGGGGAGCACACGATGGTGGTGTGCCCTGTGGGGGTGAGCACCGCCGTGTCCTCAGGGATGTGATCGGCACGGCGACTTCTCGCGTCCGGCTCTAGTTCGAACTATGATACGGAGCGAGGGGATTGGGATACCGTCTGTTCCATCTGCGAAGCAGTCATGCTGGCTAAGGAGGAGGCGGGGCGCGTGAGGGAACGAATCTTCTCATGCCCCAGCCATCGCGAGAGACACTCTGGGCGTCGGGGATCGCGGGACGAACTCCGGCCACCGTAAGCATGGGCCTGCGGACGGCGAGCACGGATGACTCGCCGCCCAATCAGAACTAGACCCGAGCATAAGGCGCGTAGCGTTCCGCACGCGCCTCAAGGAGCCATCAGACCGCCACAGATGGGGCCCAATATGGCTGCTGCTGATACAGGAGCCATGGAGGGCTTAACGGCTTACCGGGGCTCCGGCTTGAAGTGCAGGAGTAGGAACGTGGTGTTTTTGGTCAGTAAGAGTCTGACACTCCCTCTCGCCTCACCCGGGCGTAACATAAATAGTGAAAAGTGGGTGCTACATTGTACAGTGGCATAAAGTGCCGTAATGTTCACCTCTGCCTATACCGTCGGGGATAAAAGGTGTGATGTTACTTCTTAAAAGAACATTAACATTGTCAACTTTTATCTTCGTAGTAAACAGTATCCTTCTCTAAGAAACAGCATAAAAAACTATGTTCAATATTACAAGTTTGTAAGCAAAGGCCACAGTGTAGGTAAGTGTTGTAGTGTCGACGCGATATTAATACGTACCCTCAGGATTTACAGCCAAACTGCGTGCTACACCGAATAGCAATGTGTTGAGGTTTCGATCGATAACTTCCTATCTATACGATAAAATCTCTTTCAGTCTAGGAACTGGTATAAGCGACTGACATGATAATTTCATTGAATTACTGTTGGGGATTTATGGTAACCACGGTTTTATTGGTGTACTGGCTCCGTTGTTAGGTATTTGGTCAAGTCTATGTCTGTTATTTGTTTCGAGAGAAACCATAACTGAATTCGGAGATATGGGTTCAATAGAGTTGTTGCCAGGATAATAAAATTAAAAATCTATTTAGTCCGTCAGTTAAATAATGAAAATTTTCTCCATCAGATATTTTTTCTATTTTCCCATTAGATAAGATGGCGTTAAGTTAAGGAGTTAGGTCGTTACGTCACAGAACACACAAAATGTAACTCGTTGTGACGTCTCACGATATTTCAAATTAATATGTCATCGATATTATTTAGTTGTGTGCGAAAATAAAAAGTGCGTATCTAATGTCCACCAGACGGACATTAATCTTCGATCAACAATAACAACTAGATAAAGGGTTACGTACAAAATCAAGCTCTGTTCTGTCCGTGTGAATAATAATAGTAAAAAAATAACAAACTGAGAAAAATGTTTTAAAATGGTTTTAAGTTCAACCTAATAACAACCATGGCACCTAATAATAAAGTCATAAATCGTCAAAATATTATCTAATACTTACGACCATTCGTCACATAAGACGAGAAAAGCATTTTCTTACTCCTGTCATGTAGAAATTAAAAGACATAAGTTATAAAATATCTAGTTTGATTTCAACCTTAAGCTAGAACAAATAAAGATAATTTTTCCGTTATTGCCTTGTGATCTATATCGTTTTGTTTTGTTTCGTTTTGCTTCTTCGAATTTTGAATTTCGCTACAGGAGGTATGTATGGAGTCGTGTTGAACACTAAAATAATTTTATTTTCGGGGTCTTAGTATACATCACTTATTTTTATTAGCGGTACGTTTTTATATATCATATGTTTATTAACTTTGTCATTAAAAGTCTAAGTCAAAATCATTTATTTCAGTTAGACCAGGAAGGCACTTTTGAACGTCAACAATATAAATTTAAAAGTGAAGCTATTTGCTCATTTTAAGGTGTAGATTCCTATGGAGAAGAATGAGCAAGAAACTCCATAGGTTAAGTACTCTTTTCCAATCAGGTTACAATATAAATTTGTTTTAAAATACAAATCGACTCCATTGCATCCACTGTTCTGTTTAAACAAATGTTTGTGCGCGTGTTGGCGAGGCTTGGCCAAGGGATCACCAACACACGCACAAACATTGGTGGCGTTGGTTTATAATTGGTAATTTTGTCTAATTTGATATTATTTACTAATTTAAAAGCTTAAAATATAACTTATAATTTATATACTTATCGAAAGTAAGACACTCCGGCCGTTATACTGCTTTTTCGGTTATTATTTTTGCAACTTGCAATTACGCACTGCATCATCGTGAGACGTGATTACGTTGGCCATGTTTGGAGCATACTAAACAAAATAAGAGCTCACTTTTCAAGTGAGCTCTTATTTGTCGAGACGATTTTCTTGCGCCGACCCGATATCTAGTTGTTATTGTTGATCGAAGACATTAATACAATATTTTGTAAATAGCACAAAGTATATTATATATACTAGTAATTGAGGTTTAAAACGATGTCAAAAGTTATGTTTAGCATGGTAAGTAAGTAACAATCTAGAGTATAAAGAACTAATCCTAATAATATTAAAGTGGGTGTTGTGTATCGTGTGTGATATTGTCTATAAGTAATTATGATAGTCATAACAATAGTCAAGAAGGATATCAAATTTCTTTATTTAAGGACACAATGATTCTATTTAGAGATACAGTTATGTGGGAGCTTATTAATATCTACCTTATTTCTATTTATAACAAGTCATTTTATATTCACATTCATCTTCCTTCTTTGTTTACGAAAATAAACTATCCTTACTAATATTATAAATTGGAAAGAGAGTTAGTTTGTTTGTTCCGCTTTCACGCCGTAACTACTAAACCGATTGCTTTGAATTTTTGCAGACGTTAAGTTAGAAGTCTAGATTAAATAATAGGGTCTTTTTATCCCGCAAAAATTTGATATTCTCTAGGAAAACGAAATTATTGGTATAGATGGCGCTGTGTGTTTGGTATATGTCATATAGGCTTTTTATCCTTTTGTGACGCGAGCGAAGCCGCGGGTAAAAGTAATGCTATAAATATAAAGCATATTTTCCTTGTTTCAGCTCCACCCAACCGGCCTACCATAATGGATGCTAAAACTAGAAGTCACACGAGACTGCTAGAGCCGTACAATGAGGGAGACACGCTGGAACTGGCCTGCGAGTGTTTTGGAGGTAAGAACTTCATTGAGAACTGGACTAATCCAGTTTGAATACCTTTATGTTTTCTATAGCACCTTATCAAACTAACCAGGCAGGTATAAGGATCCAAGCTTCTTTGTGCAGAATTTAAAAACGAAATCTGGAGATTTGGTGCAAGTAAAAAATAATTTTCTAGTAACTTGTTGTTTGTTTACAAACAGTACTTTGTTGAATCAGTGAACTCATTGGCCTAATGGTCGCATTTGCTACTGCCGGGCAAGGGGTCTCGGGTTCGATTCCTGGGTTGGGAAAAGTATTACTGGGCTTATTAAAAAAATCTCAGTAGTAGCACGAAATCTGGAATTTTGCCCGTCCGTATATGGCAATAGGCTCACTCCCTATTACATGGGACTCATAACATAAATAGTAAAAAGTGGGTGCTACATTGTACAGTGGCATTTAGTGCCGTAATGTACACCTTTGCCTACCATTTCGGGGATAAAAAGCGTGGTGTTATGTTATGAATAAGTGAATCAGATCCTGATGAATAGGTAATAGTTATTGTATGCGTTTTTAAATACAATATTATTGTCAGTAGTATTCATCACGTCATTCACAAATTAACCAATTTTGACACAAAGATAAAAAACAAAACCATGTTTATTTAAAACTGTCTTGTAGAAAAAACGATCCGAACGCTCCGTAAAATTGCGATAAAGACTTTAATGGTTGAAAAGTCTCACGGGACTGCAAGAGACGGAAGTTTTGTCTTACAACCTTTGCATAGAGACTAATCATATAAACTGTAGATAAGCTTAAAATTGGTATCCTTGAATGAAAAGCAATTAGAAATCGTAAAACAAAAGCGTATGTCACAAATTCGTTCGCACAAAGATGAAGTCTTAATCCTTTATTCAATTAGAACATTATTACTGTCTCCTTTCCTATGTAGGTTTGTGAGTTCTTTAGATATGCTAGAGTCCTTTGAAAAATATATTTTGCTTATAATACCGAGTGTATCCTTTGAATTTTTGTGGCTACAATATCCCGTTTTACTGAAATGTTCGTTTCTATGTTTTTTTTATTGTGAGCTCCGCGGAAATTAGTGCTCGCCACTTCTGTTGCAATTTGTGTACTGTAAACTTCGTTTTTAGTGCACGAAGCGTGAAGATAATATTAAACACACTGCGGTTCTAGGAGGTTGTTTAAGAAAAAGCTTTTAAAATACACACAATGAATATTTTGTAGAAAATAAAGTAAATTTTATAAAATATCGGAGAGAATAGCTCTAGTAGTTTTTTATCGTCGGGACGCTGAGGTATATTGTGGTTACGGCAGAGAATGTGAATAGAAAATAAAAAAAAATGTAATCAATATCCTTGCTTACTTCTAAGATAGAATAATCAAGTAAGTGACCTATATTGATTAATGTTATAAGTCATAATTTAATAAATACATGCATAAAATACAGTGAGCTTCTTACTTCAACTCTAATACTTAAGGCCATCAAAACATTGAATAATTCATCGAATTTCAATTATAATCTAATAATCGAATTAATCAAACTCTGAAACATGAACGGCTTACCTTCAGATATTGATCATAGTTATTAGGTTCGGGCTAAATACATCTTTAGTCTATATGATTAATAGTATATTGAAAGGTTAGATAAGAAATTGACATAATATATAGTTTAAAATACGTAATTCTTTTACAAATTACAAATCAATACGCCATGTATTGAAAAGAGTTACCATGGAGTTTTTAAACACTTCGTATGTTGTTCAATGTTTATAAAGTAGGGGCTTTGGCTCAAAGAGCAGGAGTAGGAATGGGTTGGTTTTTAGTCAGTAAGAATCTGATAGTCCCTTTCGACTTACCCAAGGCGGGAGCAGTCATTGGATGATTTTTCCCCCCCTCAAAAAAGCACCTTTTAACCTGTATGTTTTGGTACTATAATTTTGTAAAACTATTCTGTCTTTGAACCTACATTCAAAGACAGGATGGTCAGTGACTGTATCATTATAGACTATATATATATAGAATAAATAGACCTATATAATGATAATCCTATTTAGTAAAAAGAAGATAAAGATTAGTTTCTAGTTTCTATCCTACCGCTATGTTGGAGTTTCCCTGCATTGTTAGAGACAAAAGTATCTTACGTGCTTATCTGGATCATTTTCTATCTGCATGCAGAACTCTGCACGCTTATACTAACTAGAGAGCTACAGCACAACCGTCTACCCATTCTAACGAAATAGTCAACGACTTTTTACCCATTCCATTCCATTCTGACCTTTTACCTCCGAATTCCATTGTAATTCCTTGTTTCGGTTTACAAAACATTCGGAATACGCTGAGGCTTGAATTGATTTGATGAAACAAATGAAAGATACCCAATAACGTGTATGTTTCCACTTCTATGCATCTTGTATACAACTGCATAGGGGTTTTTTTTAAGGGGGGAAAATCATCGAATGTCTGGTTATTTTTAGAGTGTTTGCAAATTCGTTTTCACAATCCCTCTTGCTATTGTTGTGTCTGTTTCGGGAATTTCAATTCTTACTTCCTATCTATTGTTGTTTCGATTTGTTGTCTCTTTCATATTGCCTATGTCGTCTTCCCTAATTTACAAGAAGCCATGTAGTTACAAATGTAAAGGAACACACTCTTCATAAATAAAATAAAGACTTAAAAATGTCTAGAGTGTTGAACTTTGCCTTGTGTGTGGAACGAGTACAAAATATTTTTATTTATAATCAGAGTATTCACATTTGTATGTACTAACTTTAGTAGCTTGTTTTTTATGTAACGTTTTTGTTAACACATACAATTGAATTTATTTGAAAAACATTGAACCACGCTTGATATGTGTCCTGTGTTATCGTTGAGTTCTCGGTTTTAAATAACGCCTATTTAAGTATTATTTTGTCATCAACACAATTTAATGTCTGAGGCTAATTTTTCAATCATCAGTTAATTTTTAACTGTTGGATAAAATTGACAATAAGTTTTTAGTATGGAAAGATTGTCAAATATTCAAAGTTATTTCATAGTTAAAATTTGTTTGGAGTTGTAAAATTCGGCCCTTATTGTCTAACACGAGGCCACTAAAATCAATGATCAGTGAGGAATTTACTTAAAACCCCCCAAATGTAAAGCAGATTTTACCAACCTTAAATATGATTCAAACGAACACACCAAGGGCTACTCCGGTAGTTTTGGGTCGACTCCAAATCGGACGAGTGCGCAAAGGCCTTTAGTAGTCGGTAGTAATATTTTTCCTCAATCTCCACAAGTAGGACAACTAATCATTTTACTGGTGGGGACTGTGGAAATCTAAGATGTTCCTTGGTATTGTGCTTTTGTATATCTGCCAAATAATCATGGCGGTCTGATGTGCTTGTATTGTGCATCTACACATCTGATAAATAGGGCTTGCTCGTAAATGATTTGTGTAATAATATTGTAATGTATTGCTTGGCTGCCGTTCGGAAGTAGAAATATTGTGAAAGGTTCGGCGAAATGTGTGCTGCAGAACTGATTTATGTTGCGTACTAAACTTCATTGTGTTGTTTAGTGTAACTCAATAAATCAAGTGGATAATCGATATTATTGAGGCTGTTTTTTGTGAGATAGGCAGAAGGCGTAGCTCACACTCTTCTAGATATAGTATTTTTGCAGTATCATACCGGTATGGTTGTAGTTGCTACTTACACTATGCTTGCAGTACTTTACTGTAGACAACATTAAAAAGATACCGTCAAAGGTTACTATCAAGCTGATAATGTTGCGGGTAATAATAACATAATTATATTCTGTAGTTTGTTAAATCATGAAGATTTGTGAAATAATTTTATTCAACAGCGCAGTTAAAACAGAAACAATAACACTATACATAACAATCAGTCAAGCAACACGACATCTAGGAGAGCTATTAAAAATGTAGAAGTAAAACATTTTCCTACGACATTATAAGTATTCCCAGAAGTTAAGTAAAACTCGTTATGAATTCCTAAATCCTGTAAGTGACGATGTCTCAGAAGGTCTGAGGGAGATAAGAGTGTCAGCCGTCGACGGCGCGATGACTAAATATTTTTATCTTTTTTAGGCGCTTTTTTACTCCATCACTTCTGCGAACTGTTCGTCCAGTTTAAATCTTTTAAGGAGCTTTCTTATTGGGGATGGAGTGTTTAGATCCCTCATTTGGAAATCCGTTGCTTTTTGATATTTTCATGATGTAATGAAAATTATTGTATCAGATTGTACGATGATTAATAACTATCAAATTGCATTTCATATTATTTTCTACAATAGAAATCTAAATAGTGATGAATTAAGCTACGATTTTATTATACAAGCACAATCTTTTTAAACTACGTTTCGAAAATTGAAAGGTTAATCTTGTTCAACCAAGGCCATAGTCATTAGAACTTAACCTAACTGAAAATTCATAGCTAGTAAAAAATAACAATGAAAATTAAGTTTAATTATACGCAAAAGATTGCCAAAGTCTACTTTCTTTTATCTTTTATATTTTCCTTAAACTTACGGTTCGTTTATTATGGGAGATTTGAAACTTTTTGCTGAAAATTTACTTACCGCTGAATCTTGGTTTAGTTAAACGGTGTCAGTACTTGACGCCGGAAGTTAAGTAATCAGAGTTAAATGACGTGGGTTGAAATTTCATAATACGACATTATATAATTACATTATATAATGATTAAAAAATTTCATAATTACATTATATAATGTCGTATTATGAAATTTTTTAATCATTATTATGTACTTTTTTATATTACTTTTTTTAATTTAGAGTCCTTTGGTCACACAAAGACCAAGCCAGACCCATCATTCCCTGAACAGATTTAACAAAACTTACATTTACTTAAATACTACTCTTATTTACTATTTTATATATAAAGTACTTATATAGTACGTGCATGGAAAGATTGGTTGTATCCATGGAATAAACAAGAAAGATTTTGTACTCTTTTTATATGTATAGAAAATATCAATTAACAAAAAAACAATAATATACACCTAAAAAAAATATTGTCTTAATATTACTTACTTATTAAATCCAATAAATATTTATCAACTTTTTAAACTCGTAATTATAGTTGCAATGAATATTAAAACGAATCATATAGAGATACAAAATAATTACTATTTTTTTCTCCACAGGCGACCCCCGTCCCCGGCTAACATGGTATCTAGAAAACACAGTGATAGACGACTCGTTCGAGCAGCGACCAGACGGTGTGACAGTGAACACGCTGACGTTCCCCAACGTTGGCCGCCAACATCTGAACGCTAGGCTCGTCTGCCAAGCCTCCAATACCAACCTCGCTGCACCAGAGGCAAAGCTACTTATTCTGGATATAAACTGTGAGTTGATACGACTCATAATTAAATATTGTATTGATAATGTGAATATGTTTTGTTAAGTTTGTCATTATCATCATCACTTTGATTTCGTGTTCGGTTAGATGTATGATCTTCATACCATAGCACATAAATCGTTTGTTAGTGAGGAGAGGTAACTTTGTCAAGTCAATTTTAGGTGATGAAGAAATATCCCATTTTATTATGTCAATTACAATTTTTACACGTTTGTAACACTTTGCTTCTTATGTATATATTATAACTTTCGTGAGACATACTAAATTAATTATTATGTTTTCGGCTTGCTCACGTAACTGTTATATGAGGAACTCGACTAGTTTCAAGCCATGCCATGATTCAAGTCAGGAGTAGCAGCATCGCAGGTCGCGAAATGCTGCTCATAAACATGAGCTTTTAGCATCGCTAGCAACTTTTACGTAAGTAAGCCGAAAACATAGTAAAGCCGCCGAAAGAAAAAGTAAAAATACAAGGATTTTTTTAAATTCTATTTATAATTAATATTATCTATGAGGATACGCCAACCCCATCGTACCTTATACTACCTACAACCAAAATATGAAAAAACACAATGATTAACACGATAGTTACCAATATCTTCCCGCTATAATACAAAATACTATGTCCCCGTTTCCTCAACAAGACTCAAGGTAAGTGGCGTTTTTGGGTGTATTATAAGCATTCACTCAATTGGAAGTTCCGATTGAGCAAATCCGGTAGTTGGTCTCAATTACTGGACACACGGACGGTAGAGCTTTAGAATCGTGCAAATAATATTGCTGCGCACTGTATTGAAATTGATCTAGATCATTTTATGGAAATGTTCCTTGCCAATCTGGTTACTAAGTGGATTATAGGACGAGTTGTAGACGGAGTAATAAATATTATGATTGGTTTAGCGTGACTTTTGATGAAGTAAGCATGCATAGCGGTTATGCAAAAACAGGTTTGGCTTTCATTTCCTGAGGGGTTAAAAAGACTTTTACAATATCCAGTTTTTACTGGATTTGTTGAGTCCGATTTTAGGAAAAACATAGGTATGTTTGAGACTGAAAGAATTCGAGAAAACAAACGATGGTGATGATGGCTTTCGTAACAGCAGAGATAAAATTTCAATACATCTATGATTGGCAACTAATTTCTTTACCAATGAAAATATAGGTACCTACTATTCTTAGTAAACGAAACGACGAACTTTTAGGACCAAAAGAACAGACTTAAAAGATGTGGTAATGTTAGTTTATTATTCAATATTCTTACAAAAAAGATTTCAGTGTTTATTCCTTCATATAAGTAAACTAAATATTTTTATTTGGTATTCACCTCTCGTAACAAATCCGAAATGAAACGAGCAACAAATAAACAGTCAGCAACTATATATTATTAGGTTTTCAGCTATTAACTAGACCATTATTGATTTGTTCTGAGAAACACTTTTGTGATTATTATAGCGTGACATTTATTGTATTTGATGGCCATCATGTCGGAGGAAGTGAGCCAAATTAAATCAGTTTCTGACTGTACCGATTTTTATTATTGTTTTTCGGTTTTCGTTTTGTGGGCTGGTATTTTTTTATAAAAACACAATTAAACTGGTTTAGGGAACAGAGAGTATAGTTCCCTAAGATCGGAAAAGGAGGATCCTCCGACCAGGCGAGGTGATCGTGCCTGGCGGGCTTTCTGCCCAACGGTTGTTCGTTGGGATTTTCTATCCGTGTTTATTCGCTTGTAAACTTTGCATGTGCGATGTAGGATTCTTGTGACGTCATCCGTTGACATGTGGCATGCGTCGCCACATCACTCCCTCCCAAGACCGGAGGTCGATCCCGCTGAGACGGCTGTCGATGCTTGAGATGAGTGGCGCCAGAGCCAGTGTAGAACGTCCCTAGTTCCAGTGGGTCGGAACCGTGCCGCTGAGTGCCCAGTGAGTCGGGTCAGCGGTGCAGGGTGAAACTCCAGTGAGTCGGAGAGATGAGTTCGCAGTGTCCCACGGTGAGTCGGGGAAGAGATGCTGCGAGGGTAGGTGCGTAGTGGCCGGCATCTGCGTTGACGGGAGGAGGTGTCCTTCAGACCGTGTGCAGAAGTGCTGTGCCTAGACGCTGGTGAGGCCGTAGGGAAGAACCAGGCTGACAACTTCGTTGCAGGTAATGGTGGTCCCTGATGAGGCCGAGGATGCTGGTTGGCTGCGACTTGGTTACCGCTCAGCGGAGAAGTGATGAATGAGAGGGATGGCGATACGGATGACGGTGCTAATCTGCTCCGTGAAGTGAAGGTTGTTTTCCAATCACGTCGGGGTCACCACTTTAGGGAACAGAGAGTATAGTTCCCTAAGATCGGAAAAGGAGGATCCTCCGACCAGGCGAGGTGATCGTGCCTGGCGGGCTTTCTGCCCAACGGTTGGTCGTTGGGATTTTCTATCCGTGTTTATTCGCTTGTAAACTTTGCATGTGCGATGTAGGATTCTTGTGACGTCATCCGTTGACATGTGGCATGCGTCGCCACACTGGTATCTTCAGACCTTATTCCATAGCAAAATGCAGGCTAAAGTGTTGCAGATTAATTTAAATTTTCATTACTAAATACTTCAATATAAAAATGTTTGGTCAAGCCTAAAAATTCAAAAACATGAATATCTACAACACAACCAAGTTTGCCAGTTGTAGGTAAATTTTTAAATAGAACAGTAATCCCATAATATTAAAAACATCGTCCAATTTTCAAAATTCATATTGCACCACGTCTCTTACTCTTTTACTCTCGCCAATAAATCCAGTTTGTTACAGTAAGGCCACTGAGCGTGCAGATCCTGAACAAACGGGCACAGCTCTCAGCAGACAGGAACTATGAAGTGGAGTGCAGAGCAGTGGGCTCCAGGCCGGAGGCACAGGTCACCTGGTGGAAGGCCGGGAGACAGTTGAAGAGAAGTGCTAAGAATGTAAGTCATAATAAAATATTTTTTCTCATTGTGGCCTCACGCTAGACAAACTTGTCCAGGATTGAAGATTAATTTTTACACTTTTAATTTTGTTTTTAAACGTAGCCCACACTATGGTTTTCTCCTGTGTTGTGGTGTCCGGTGCATTTGGTACAACAATTTGTGAATTACACAAAGAGTTCCTCCGTGCGGGAATCGAATCTGCCACAAGTCGCGCGCAGCCGGTTGCCCAGTCACCGCGTCAACTGTGCAATCGGTTCAGCATTGGTTCTATGCGGGAACTGAAAATTGTAATACGTTGTGAAGCAGCGTACTTAATACGTTGACTTAAAGTTACTTGAAGTTTGACACACGATTAGTTTGTTTGTGTTTTCTACACAAGACGCCATCTTATTATAAACTGCCATATCCAAAGCTATTTTTCTAAAGAACTTGTAGCCGATGTACATAACGTACGTGCTTATAAAAAGTCAAACACAGATCATTGCCAATACTAACTCAATTTCACTCTGCGACTGTTTCTTTTACTTTTACGTGATCTGAAGCGGATTATATTTAGATTATAATAATACCTAGAACAAAAAACAAAAACTAGGTAGGTACCCTAGATTTCGTTTTTACTGGGATACCATGGCGGCGCATCCAAACTCACCATGATAGTGGCCATAAGTTACCAAAGACACCAGAGTCCACACGCCACACTGCGACAGTATCAAAATAGAACTCGGGTACTGGCGTCCGAACTGGTCGCGCCACCACATTGGTTGCTCATCTAAGTGGACAGGTGAGAAAATATATAGAGCTGCATACATTTTGTTAGTGGCGGCGACTGGTTGCGGTGCCGTGGTGTCCCGATAAAATATAGCTCTAATAGTTCTAACGTTTTTCTTTTTAGTCTGCTCGGGTTGATTTGCTTTTGTCTCCGATTACGTGAAAATAACTGTAGGTAGGGATCTGATGGATCATTATTTTTGCCTTGTCAACTGAGTCCAGCTTACGTAAGGCCCCATTTACATCGAATAGAAAAGATAATTGCCTATAATACTTTTGTATTGTAGGGAACAGAGAGTATAGTTCCCTAAGATCGGAAAAGGAGGATCCTCCGACCAGGCTAGGTGATCGTGCCTGGCGGGCTTTCTGCCCGACAGTTGTTCGTTGGGATTTTCTATCCATGTTTATTCGCTTGTAAACTTTGCATGTGCGATGTAGGATTCTTGTGACGTCATGTGGCATGCGTCGCCACATCACTCCCTCCCAAGACCGGAGGTCGATCCCTCTGAGACGGCTGTCGATGCTTGAGATGAGTGGCGCCAGAGCCAGTGTAGAACGTCCCTAGTTCCAGTGGGTCGGAACCGTGCCGCTGAGTGCCCAGTGAGTCGGGTCAGCGGTGCAGGGTGAAACTCCAGTGAGTCGGAGAGATGAGTTCGCAGTGTCCCACGGTGAGTCGGGGAAGAGATGCTGCGAGGGTAGGTGCGTAGTGGCCGGCATCTGCGTTGACGGGAGGAGGTGTCCTTCAGACCGTGTGCAGAAGTGCTGTGCCTACACGCTGGTGAGGCCGTAGGGAAGAACCAGGCTGCACAACTTCGTTGCAGGTAATGGTGGTCCCTGATGAGGCCGAGGATGCTGGTTGGCTGCGACTTGGTTACCGCTCAGCGGAGAAGTGATGAATGAGAGGGATGGCGATACGGATGACGGTGCTAATCTGCTCCGTGAAGTGAAGGTTGTTTCCAATCACGTCGGGGTCACCACTGTAGGGAACAGAGAGTATAGTTCCCTAAGATCGGAAAAGGAGGATCCTCCGACCAGGCTAGGTGATCGTGCCTGGCGGGCTTTCTGCCCGACAGTTGTTCGTTGGGATTTTCTATCCATGTTTATTCGCTTGTAAACTTTGCATGTGCGATGTAGGATTCTTGTGACGTCATGTGGCATGCGTCGCCACAGTATAATAAAAATAACTGGCGATTATGTTACACGTGGCTTAATAATTGGGTATTTGCGAACTAGTTAAATTCAATACTTTTTTGAACTATCAAAAACGATGGCTTTCTATGAATTTTGTACGAGATTGTGTATTGTGATGTCACGTTTTTTTAGTTTAAAACAGTGTACTCATTTCTTAAAAAAATCCTGAAAAAATACTAAAATTAAGTTGGTCATAAAATGTGATAATTTTTTATTATTTTATTGTATTGAACAGTTGAAATAATTTATTTTTGATTAAAAAAATTACCCAATTGTTAAAGAAATTTGTACAAATCATGTAATACGTATACTATTTACTGTTTTAGCTAGATACTCTTTTCCATAATATTGTTATAGAGTATTTTCAATATAATTAGGTTCAATTTACCTGGCATTGGTCCTCCAAAAGTCCATCTTAATGTAAAAGGTTACAATACCTAGGTATTGGGTCAAGTAAGACCACCTAATGACGTAGCATAGCAATAAAAACTTTAATATCATCAGACAGGATTGTTTAGTGTTCATCTCAATTCTCTCATCCGCTGTGATGTCGACCCACCCTAGCAGATCTTTAATATGCCTTTACAAATGAATATTATTTTTCGATATATTTACTGTTACTTCAGAAAACAAGCATTTGTATATGTCTATCTCTTTGCTCTTTATTTGATATTGTGTCTGGCATATAAGAAGGCATTTCTGTATTTTTATATGCTTTTGGTACTTAGCTATGAAAATACTTTAATAAGTTATCAGTTTCCTAAAATGGTTTTGCTCGAAATTTTTGAATATTACTCGGCATCGAAACTAGGTTAACACTATGTAAAGTTTCAAGGAAGATTTATTTGTGAAGACTTGCCAATTTTTGTTTGAGGAGCAAAACTATTGAAAAGGAGGAAACTTGGGCAGATACTTTCTAGCTGACTGTACGTAACTATATGTTGAGAAAGAATGTGGCGATGAAAATATCTTAAAATAAACGATCAGTAGAAATAATTCCTTGTTCGGCTCACGCTAACAGGGGGAAAGGTTGCAATTGGAATCGGCTTAATGCTTCATATCCCATTCCACATGATGAATCCAATAAAGATTTTTCTCGGAGCTCTTTTTACACGATTCCCAGTAATCAGCTCGCGCGCCAATTACTCTCTAGCAGCGCGGTTACCCCGCTCGAGTACTGATTACAGACCTAAGCCACGTTTAAACCCACATTGATTGAACAACCACACGACAAATATGCTCAGCATTAATAATCTGCTCCGTACAATAATCCACTATTTGCTTTCTACTGTAAATACGTGTCTATTCCAGACTTTGAATAGTGGCTGTTTTAATTAAATCGCCCCACTACTGCTAGTTTTCAGATTGTGTTGACTTGAGTTTAAATGAGCAATTGATCGCGATCGTTCGACTCTTTTACTAATAAACTTGTGAAATGGTTATTTTCAGAAGAATAATAATAGAGTTAGTGAGAACACCTACGTAAGTATAAAATTAAAACGAGGTAGTCAACATTTGAAGCGGCTGCGAAGTTATCGTATTATACTGCTGTTCGCAGCGATTTCTTGTCAGAACTTGAGTAGGTACTATTTCTTTATGCTCCTGTGGGAATTCATGAAACTTGTGCTAGTTATAGCTTTCGTAAGTTAGGTACGAATCTTGTAATTACACGTTTATTGTTCATGGTTGCGGCTCGAACAGAAGTTATCACTCATTCATGTTTTAACTTATTCAGTAAGTTAATACTGTTTCTAGATCATGATTAATTTTACGTTTAAATCACATTAATAAATGTAAAAAGGCTACTAAGTAAAAAACGATCTGATCTGTAAGTCCTTAGCAATACGTTGACCTGATTTCAAAGTTAGATCATATAACACGAATAGTTTTATCACATAGCAAATAATACCACAGTTTTGGTTTAACATTTTAAATCAAATGACTATTAATAATACCTGACTGGTTCACATATTGTGACATGTCGAACATTACATCACCGCAGACCATAAAACGATGCGACACTATTTGCAATTAGTAAACCATTAATTAAGGAAGTGCACGCTAGGGTATTGTGTACAAATTAACGTGTTTTACGGTAACCGATGAAGAGTTTAGAACATGTTTTTGAAAGTACAGCTTCGCATCAACCTTCCTTGTGTGTATTGCTAAAGAGTGGAATTCTTTGCTAAAGTCTGTTTCCTGAAGGCTCGAGTGATCAGGTTACTTTATGGGTCGACGTGGTCCATCGTAGGCTGCATCATCGCTTACTACCAGGCGAGATAGTGGCCAAACGTCGACCCATCAAATATTACAAAAAAAAGTAAATGAATATCACCATGTCTTAAATGATGATAATTGGGCTCGCTGCCATTGCAGCGGTAAGACCCCTCTTTGAGGAGTGGCTTGAGAGACGCTACGGCGTCCTCACCTACCGCCTGACGCAGGTCCTCACCGGACATGGAAGTTTCGGGAGGTACCTGTGTCTGATGGGGCGGGAGGAAACGCCCGGGTGTCATCACTGCGAGGACCGCCCTGAGGACACGGTGGAACACACCGTAGCGGAATGCCCTGCGTGGGCTGAGCACCGCCGTGCCCTCAGGGAAGTGATCAGCGATGGCGACCTCTCGCGTCAGGCCATGATGCGGAGCGAGGGGGACTGGGATGCCGTCTCCTCCTTTTGCGAAGCAGTCATGCTAGCTAAGGAGGAGGCGGGACGCGTGAGGCAGCGAAGCGCTGCCTCCTCGCAACCCAGCCATCGCGAAGGACACACCGGGCGTCGGGGCTCAAAGAGCCATCAGGCCACCACAGATGGGGCCCAATAGGGCCGATGCCGATTCGGAGTCGCGGAGAACCTAACGGGTAACCGGGGCTCCGGCTCGACGTGCAGGAGAAGGAACGGGGTGGTTTTTAGTCAGTAAGAGTCTGACACTCCCTTCCGCCTCACCCAGGCGGGAGCAGTCATTCGATGATTTTCCCCCCTTAAAAAAAAAAATGATGATAATTTTATTTAATATACACGTACTGAGACACAATAACAG